AAAGATTGTATATTTCTAGGATTTTATTCATTTCTTCTAGTTTGTCTGATTTTTTGGCCTGTAATTTTTCACAGTATTCTTATAATGCTTTGTATTTCTGTGGTGTCAGTTGCTCCTTCTCCTCTCTCATTTCCAATTTTATTTATTTGGATCCTTTTACTTTTTTCTTAAGGAGTCTAAGGATTTGTCAATTTTATCTTTTCAAAGAACCAGTTCTTGGTTAAATTGATTTTTTCCTGTTTTTTTTTTTTTTTTAAATCTCTGTTATTTATATCTACTCTTATCTTTATTATCCTTCCTTCTTTCACCTTGGGCTTTGTTTTCTTCTTCTAGTTCATTTAGGTGTGGAGCTAGATTGTTTATTTGAACTTTTTGTTTCTTAAGGTAGGCTTGCTTTGCTATGTATTTTTCTTTTAGAGCTGCTTGCACTGCCTCCCAAAGATTGTGGACTATTGTGTTTTCATTTTCATAAGCATCTATATACTGATGTATGTGGGTTCCATATACATGTTTTTTCTTCTTTTAAGAATCTTTCCTTATCTTTAACTTTTGGCACTTTAATTATAATGTGTCTCAGTGTGCCTCTCTTTGGATTCCTTTTTGGAACTCTCTGGGATTTCCAAATCTGAATGTCTGTTTTCTTTCCCAGGTTAGGGAAATTTTCAGTCATCATTTTGTCAAAAAGTTTTTCTGCCCCTTTCTCTCTTCTCTGGGACCTCTATAATACGAATCTTGGTTTGGTTGATGTTGTTCTGTAAGTCCCTAAAGCTATCTTAACTCCTTTTCATTCTTTTTGCTGCTTTTACTGGATGAGTTTTACTGCTGATTTTGATCCTTTCTTCTCCCGGGTAGTGTGCTGTTGAACCCCTCTACTGTAGTTTTTAGTTGTTATTGTATTTCTTCTGCTCTGTGACTTCTCTGTTTGCTACTTTCTTACATTTTCTATCTCCTTGTTGAAATTTTTAATTTTTTGTCCATTCTTTTCCTGAGCTCAGTATCTCTGGCCATTATTTTGAACTCTATCAGGAGAAAATCCCTTATCACCATTTCCTGAGGGTTTAACTCTCTTCCTGAGGGTTTACTTGTTCTGTCATTGGGAATATATTCTTCTGTTCCTTCATTTTCCTTGACTCTCTAAACTTCACCCCTCCCAATCTTGAAGGATGGGTCTTGTGTAGATGAAACCTACTGTTCAGCCCTGCTCTAGCTCAATTGTCTCTCAAACCTTTTTGACTTTCCAAGCAATCCATTTTGTTTTTAATGGTTCCCAGTAGTTGCAGGGACTCTAAGACATGTCAATGTCCCAAGTGGGGGGATCTTAGCAGCACTTAGATTTAGGCTAATTGGGAACCAGACCCTCAGGCAGCAGCTCTTAAAATACGTAAATTTACCTCTTTCTGAAGAAGGCTGGGAGAGGAGGATTTCTATCTACTCCCTCTGTGCTGACCCTGGGGTGACAGCTGGGTAAGAACTTTTCTTTGCTACAGTCTTGTTGAACCTGTAAACACAAGCCTCGTGGCCACCAATGCCAGGCTATAAATGAATGTCCTTGCAGCAGCAGTCACAAAAGCCTGGCCACCGGATGTGTACACACGATTCTTTTTCAGATACCCACAATTTGGAGCAAGGGAAGGTAGAGTGCCTAAGTGGCAACCACAGGTCTCCATTCCCAGAAAGCACCTAAGTAGGCCCCTAGATGTGCACCAAATCAGAAGCCTGTCCCTCTTTCACAGAAAGGCTGTGGCATGTGTTTAGAATGCCGTCTCTGTGCTGGGGTTGGGTGGTAGCCAGCCAAGATCACTTTCTCCATTTGTTACAGCCCTGTAGGACCCAGGAATGCAAGTCCCACTGGCCATCTGAGCCAGGCAATCAAGGGGCTTCCCTGGGTCACACCACAAAAACCAGGGCAGCAGACCTATGCACAAAGCTCCTCTCTGGGAGACACCAGTAGCCTAGAGCGCAGCAGTAGAAAAGCCTTATTAACAGTGTTCCCCCAAACTCTGCAAAGGATTACAGTTGGCTCTTAAATGCGTTTAGTTAGATGAAGCCTGCCCCCTAGGCCACAGCTATGAAGATAAGTTAATAGGCTACTTTCTCGGAAAGACTAGGTAGGTACTGTCTATTGCCTCACTGCTATGTGGTAGCCAGTTAGTAACTTGGGTTAGACCTGTAACAATCCTGTAGGGCCCACGGTATGTCCCACTGGCCACCAGAGCCAAGCAATGAGGTGTCCTCTGAGCAGCAGCCACAAATGTTGGGGTGCCAGATGAGTGTACAAATGCCTTCCTAGGAGATACCAGTGAGCTGGGGAAAGGCACAAAGATGGTACCCACTGGCTCCATTTTGGGGGTATTTCAGTAGGCCCCTAGATGTGTTTAAATTAGGCCAATGCTTTGAGATAATCAAGGAAAGCTCTATTGTATAAGGTCTGGATGCTTTTTAGTTGCCTCTACAGTGGGCCCTGGGATGTAGTCCATCTGACCCCTATGGGGGTCTTGTGAATGAAAGCCCCATTGCCTTTCAAAGCTAGACATTTTGGGGGCTTGTCTCTCAGGTGCAGCTCTTAAAAGTCAGGTGCAGGATGTGGGGTTCTTCACTCCTCAGGGAAAGGCTCAGCGTTATGAGTTCCCTTCTGATTGTGGGTCTCCACCCTGAGGATGGGGTTTATTTCAGCCTCTCCTATTTGTTTCATTGTGGTTTTTTTTTTTTTTTTGTCCAATGTGTAGGAGTCACTCAGCTATTTTTGTTTTTAGGTCCCCTCCTTCACCCAAGAAAATTGTTCTGCACGTAGCTGTAGATCTGGTGCATCTATGGTAGGAGGTTGAATTCAGGATCCACCTTTTATTACCATCTTGAAGTGGAGACCACACACCTTTTAAAATAACAAGTTGAGGTTCAGTTGCTGGCTTTTCTTTCTGAGACACAAAAGCATCACTCATCGCACGGATAACATATACCCTAATCTTTACCCACCTGGACAGTAAGAAATAATGTGGGAAATTCGGCCAATGGCACAACATTGCAAATTCATAAACATAAGCCTAACATAGGCATGGGGTAGGATGAGGAGGATAACATGTGTTTACAGAACAGAATGAAGAGAAGTGACATGTTAGATTTTTCAGCATATGGTTACGAGTAGGGTATAGTTATCAATTTTTGTGAAAAATTTATCGTCCGTTAATACAACCCTCTATGAAATGGTGAGTACAAGCTGCCAAACAAATCCAACAAGTGACTCAGTGGTCTATGTTAACACTCATTTATTCTGGATTGCAGACATACTCTTGCCATCTCTCTATTCCAGCAGCTGGAGTCCAGTTGTGAGGTTATGGGAAATGTCCAAGCTTGACCCATCAGTTATGAGGCAACACACTTTCAACTGTATTAGCAAATAATTTACACAATAGCAGATGTTTTCAGGAGTATTGGTTTCATTGAGACTTTAATTATGGTTCCAGAGTTGTTGTTTTTTAAAAAATTTTATTTATTTATTTGACAGAGAGAGAGAGAGAGAGATCACAAGTAGGCAGAGAGGCAGGCAGAGAGAGGGGGAAAGCAGGCTCCCCGCTGAACAGGGAGCCCGATGCGGGGCTCGATCCCAGGACCCTGAGACCATGACCCGAGCTAAAGGCAGAGGCCTAACCCACTGAGCCACCCAGGTGCCCCGGTCCCAGAGTTTTTATGGAAACTCAGTAAGATTTGCTTTAAGTGCATATGATTAGCAATACGTAGAATGTTTGGATTAAAAAAAAAAAAAATGAGACCTAACAGTACGTTCCCACTGGGAACATCAAGCTCTGAATATTGTGATTCAATGTTCAGAGGAGTTCTGAAATTTTCTTCTATAATGTTAACAAAAAGACACTCAGACCTGAAAAGCAACAAATTTGATTATATGGCAAATTTAAGGACACAGTTTTCATTTTGTAAATGAGTAACTTGTAAAACATTCCTAAAGTTGGTGGACAAAACCGAAAACCATTTTTTTTTTGTTCCACAGTCCTGGGAAACAGGATTAGAAATTCTAAGACTTTAAATGTTTGTGCTACAGCAAATATTATCTACTATATTTAGGAGTCATTTTTTAAAGGATATTTATTCTCCCGGGTCATTAAAGAATTTTTCTACTTTATTTAAAATATCTACCAATTGGAAAAGGAAACAGACATTAGGAAAATTCTGGTTACATTCCTCCCTGCCGCTGCCCCTGCCTGCCATTTTCTCATACACACTTTCAAAGTCATTTGAAAATAAGATCATTTTCTTTGCTGGGTCTGTTATCTGATATAAATTAAGGAGACCATGGATGAACAGAAATTTTACATCGGTACCATTGTTACCTTTAGAGGATACAAAACTATTGACACAGGTAACAGAGGATTACAGTTTTAACAAAAAAACCTATGAGAGCCAATGGAAAAAATTTTTTTTGATTGGTTTCCTTTATTATGACCACTGTCTGCCCACAAATTCTGCAGCTTGGATTCCTTTTCAAATCCTTCTAACAGTCTGCTTCATGAGTTACACATATACACACAGAATAAAAACAAATATCATAATTTAAAAAAATGAAGTAATTTTAAATTTATAGGCTAGACAGTTCAATGTAGTCAAAGGGTATAGCTCTGAATAAGAGGATGGTAATGGATTTTAAAGCTCAGATGACAAGGTCTGTTAACTCCGGGTTTGTTTCAAGTATTACAGAGCTGTATTTGAAGTATATGCCTCAAATTCTGTTGCCTTATTGAGCAGTAAAATATTTCAAGTATGAAACGTAATTTTGATGACAAATGCTTCAGAACATCAGGAATAAGATCAATAAAGAGCAAAGTGAATCTAGAACAAGGAAAGGAAAGGTACATTTATTAAAAGTAAAAACAGCAGGCAGTCTCTGAAAACAAACAAAACCACAGAGAATCCAAACACGTCTAATATACATTGTAACAATGCACATATATTTAAAAAAAAAAACAATAAAGACCCATTAGTAATTTTTGTTTTTTTTTAAGAACTTTAGAAAGGAAAAAAGTACTTCAGCTCCCTCCTGCTGGAGGTCTGCCCACAAACCCAGCATGCGCGACCAGCATCCTCTTTCAAGAGTTCTGTACGGCACAAAATAGCAGAGTGTGCATTCATTATGTGAACACACTGATTCTGAATAAAATCGGTTTCTGTAAGGATGATCCAAAACACAAGTCAGCAGGTCCATTTCATAAAAAATATTCAGAGGCTGCAAGAACAGTGGCAACCGTTTTCCAAAATCTTCAGTTTTAACAAAAGGTAGAGAATAACTGCTAAATCTAGATGTTTTCACATTATTTTGCATGAGTATCAAGTACTGTGTAAAAATTTATGTAAAATCTTAAGTTAGCCAAAACTAGTGTCTTTAAACTTTAGATCAAAGCTGTTCTTCCCCCTTTTACCGTGGCTGATAAATCTTTTCTGCCTTTGTCCTGAATGATGTCTGTGAAACCAAAGAACTCTGAAAAAAGAGGCAATCCTGAAGGAACACAGTACCAAAAATGTCACTGGAATTCGGTCTTAAGACACACACAGTTCCTGCTGGACGTTGGACTGTGGGAGTTTATTATCCTCCGCCTTCTCCTGTCCTGGGGCAAGACAGGTGGTCTTCTTTTTAAACAGCCGAAGGCTCAATCGCAGCAAGTCACTGTCTACCACTGGAGCGCCCGTGTATGCTTGTTTTACAGTGCCCTAATTCGAAGAAAACAAAAACAGACTTTAAAAGATGGATATTATTAGTTAACAGTAGGAACGACAGGGTAACCTCTAACAAAAATGTCAGAGTGGCAAGAAAAATTAATTTGGGATGGATATTTAAAATTGAGATGTTTTCAGATTCAAGGAATCTTAGAAAAGAAAGCTATCTTTGAAAGGGCACCTCTTGCTGATAAAGTAGGATCTTTAGCAATCCCTGACAGGTAATCAACTAGCTTTTATTTCCAATGACAAAGCAAACAACAGTCACTGCACATTCCTGAGCATGTTGAAATAAAACCTCTTCTTTAGAGCTGCACACTAATTCAATCTTACTCTTCCAGGACAACCTTTCAGTCTGAAAGAGAAGCACTGAAGAGAAGCACTGAACACTCCACATTCCTTACTGGTCTGTTACTGTCCCATGAAACGCAGGCTCTGGAAGTGAACAAATTCCCTAGGAGACAGCTGATCACTGCAGTATACCGAGAAACTACCACCTCCCTTCTGCTAAAATGTGTATCTCTATTACTATAAGTTAAAGCTACGTTAGCATTTTTGGAAGTAGCGGTCCTACAATTTTATTAAATGTTCTCCAACTATGTTCATAAATGAAATAAGATGAGTTTTGACTATCTCTAGCATTCTGCCATTTCTCTTCTTTCTAGGATCCTTAAAGGAACAGTGCTTCCTTGATCACATGTTGTGATACAGTAAATTGACCTTTTACATGTAGTTCTGTGAGTTTAGACTTAGGTACTAAGTCACGTAACCAGGATTACAATCAGAGAAGTTTCATTGTTCAGAAAACTCCCTTTGCTGTCCCTTTGTTCTCATACCCTCTGGCCAACTCTAACCCTTGGCAACCAATCACAAGGTATCTCTGATCATTCTGCCTCTCCAGAATGTCAAATAAATGGGAATTATATACTGCATGATTTCTGAGACCTGCTCTTGACATTAATCCGTGTTGTTGACAGTACTGGCACTTTGGTTATTTTTTTATTACAAATTAGTAATCCATTATATGGATGTGCCCCAGTTTACCAATTAGCTATGTATAGAACACTGGGGTGGTTTTCAGTTGTTGGAGATTGTGAAAAGACCTGCTATAAGCTCTTGTGGACAGCTTTTTATATGAACCTAAGTTTTCATTTTTCTAAGGTAAATACCTAGCAGTGGGATTACTGGGTCATATAGTGAGTATATATTTAACTTTATAAGAAAAACCAAACCATTTTCCAAAATGTCTGGCACCACTTCGCATTTTCACCAGCAATACATGGCAGTTTCAACCGCTCGCAGCCTCACCACAGGGGTTTTTAGTGTTTGGTTTTTAGCTGTTATAATAGATTCACAATGGTATCTAATTTAAGTTTTAATCTGCATTCCCTAGTGGTTAATGCTCTTTAACATCTTTTCATGTGCTTAACCATATATATCCATTTATCCTCTTTGGTGAATTGTCCATTCAAGTCTTGCCCATTTAAAAAAAATTGGATTGCCTGTTTTCTGTTAATTTTTGAGAGTTCTTTGTATACTCTAGATACAAGTTCTTTTTAAAAAATTACTTTGTGTATTCTTGTTGCTTGACTTTCCATGCAGACTTTAGAATCAGTTTGTCTGCATCTACAGAACCAACCAACTGACCAACCCTGCTGGGATTTTGCTGCATTGTGTTAAATCTGTAGATCCATTTGGGGAGTCTCCTAATCTTAAGTATATTGAATCTTTCAATCCATGAACATGATCTATCTCTCCATTATTTAGGTCATCTTTTTTTGGATCAGTGTTTTATAGTTCTTGGCACACAGATCCTGTACATGTTTTGTTAGATTTATACCTAAGTACTTTTTTGGGGGGAGCCATTGTAAAAAAATATTTTTTCCCCTTCACTTCAATTCCCAGGTACTTCTATATACTATTAGTATAGGGAAATACAGTTGCTCTTTGCCTGCTTTGTAGCCTGTGACCTTGCTAAACTTATAAGTTCTAAGAGTATTTCTGGTAAATTCCTTGAAACTTACATGTAGACAATCATGTTGTCTGTGAATAAATAGTTTTACTTCTTCCCTTCCAATTTATAGGACTTTTATTTTCTTCTGTTACTGAACTGGCTAGAACTTCCAGTAAAATGTAGAGTGGGGTAGTAAGAATAGGCATCCTTGCCTTGTTCCTGATCTCTTCGGGAAAGCTCTCAAACTTTTACCATTAAGTATGATGTTAGCTGTAGGTTTTTGTAGATACCCTTTAAAAAGTAAAAGACTGAGAATTCTTATTATAAAGGAATGCTAAATTTTATTAAATGTTTTTTCTTCAGCAATTGATATGACGTATTTTTTTCTTTTTGGTCTGTTACTATGTAGATTACATTGAATGATTTTAAAATATTAAGCCAGCCTTTAATTCAGACGATATATGGTACTTGGTTGTGGTGTAGTCTTTTTTACATATTGCTGGCTTTGATTTCCAATTTTTGATGATTTTTTATGTCTATGTTCATGAGAGATACTGATCTGTAGTTTTCTTGATATCCAAGTACTGCTGGCCTCATACAATGAGGTGGGAAGTATTCCTGCCTCTTCAATTTTCTGGAAGAAATTATGTAGAAACGGTATTATTTCTAACTTAAAGGTTTGGTAGATTTTGCAAGTGAAACCATCGGAGAGTGAATTCTTTTCCAAAAATAAAAAACAAAACCAAGTAAAACAGACATATGACTATTCAGATTTTCTATTACTTCTTGAGGAAGTTTTGGTGCCTGTGGCTTTTACAGCAATTGATCCATTTCTTCTAAATTGTCAAACTTACGTGCATAGATACAATACTATCCTTTCAATAGGATAATATCTGAGAGACTTGTAGGGCATTACCAATATTTTTCATTTCTTCAGAACCAAATTTTGGGTTCACTACTTCTGTTTTCCTATTTATTTTTGGTATTCTTTCTTTCCTTTTGCCTCCTACAGGTTCTATACATTCTTTCAACAAATCTGAGTTAAACTCATTTAGAGCAGCTAAGTGTTCTCTTTGTATCCTTCACCTATCTCTTCTGATGTATAGTGTTATTTATATATTTTAAAAATCATTTTTTATTTAAAGATAATGCCAATATATGAGTTTGCTATCTTTACACATTTTTTCATTATCCAGTAAGTAGTACCACTTTCCTCAATGAATGGTCCTATTCTGTACTTTTCTTTTATAGTTATACATTTTAAAGGTTTTTGTTTATATTTCTTAGCATTTGTCATGAGATTCTCTAACGTCTGAAATTTTTCCTTCAGTTGTCTCTTCAGCTTTTGAGCAAGTATTTTTAACCCTGAGCAATCAGAAAGCGCCAATGCTTTTTTTGGATGGATCATTTAAACATTTATATTGTCGCACTGTAACTTTTTATAATGTGTCATGTGCTAGTTAATGGTCTGTGCCCTGCAGTAAAGGATTACAAGGTTCTGAGAACAGAATTCTCAAGGAGAATTTTACAAGGGTATTTTTAGTTGTCACAACTTTTGAAAAGCATTTGGCATATTAGAGGAGGAACCAGGGAATGCTACAAAATATTTTTTATAAAAAGGGGGCAGGACTCTGGTGAGACTTCAAGATGTGCAGCCTTTCTTCACTGAAGCCTCCTCCTTGAGCCAACAGAACGTGGTGTGATGGATTATTTTTCAAATTCGGTACTGAGGATGGAATACCACTCTGAATACGTAAAAGGGAAGGTGATTCATTACACACATGCTTATTAGGGCTCCCTGGGGTTTAATTCCCTGGGAAAAACTTCCAACTGAGAAAAGCTGCAAGGAGGACTAGGCACCTAAGCAACTGAAAGAAGGGAACTGAGTAAGTAGTGTAGAAGTCTATAAAACGGGAGTGCAAAGAATGACTGTAGCAACTCTATAAAAAGTAGTTCTCAGCCAGGACTTTAATCAGGAAAGACCTTAAAAACCTCCTATGCCTTGTATCTGTTTCTACTTTAATCTTTTGGATTCATCCTTGCTTTTTCATGAATTTTTTCTTTAATGAAGTACACTTTCTGCTAGCAGTGTTTTCTTAAATGTCCCCAGGTAAAAAGCTAGTAGTTCTCTAATCTTTTAATACCAACTCTCTTAGGCTTTTTAAAGTTAAGACTTTTTCAGTTTCTCAACTGAATTTTTCAATTAATCTCAATTAAATGGGATTTTTCTGGGGATGCAGGATGGTTCTCCCAAATCTAAATTTCTATTTCTCTTATGTTTCAATTCCCTTTACTCTTCTCAAGTAAAAGCTTAAGTATAATCACTTTTATTTATTTTCCTTTCTTCTGACTTGGTACATTCTCATAAACGCTACTTCTTCCTATAAATATCATCATTCTGTGTCTGGAAAATTTTTTCCCCAGATCTTGTTTAGATAATGAAACATACTAGAAATTTACCTTGAGGAACTTCACAAATGAAAATAATTCACAGAAAGAGTATTTTAAACTTTATGCATATAATTTTGAATAACAAATTGCTATGCACAAATGTTCATCAATACTATTAAAGTAAAATGAAAACTATTATAAATAGAATTCTTCCTTTTATATCTATAGAAGACTAGGAAACCGAACTCACAAAAGCAGATAATGAGACCTTAATCTCACCTTAAAGCAATCAAATAGGGAAAAAAAAAAAAAAAGCCATTCATTGATACAATGCATACACTCTGCATTTTTTTTTTCAAGGAAACAGTACCTTCTCATTTTTAACAAGCTGCTTCCTGATTGCTGAATCCCGTCTGAAGCATAACGCTTTACAACATGGTCCAAGATTACTAAGGAGACTTGCTCGCTCTTCTTTTCGTAGTAATGCAGCCATGTTGAGAGCCCCCAATTCATGTTCAAAAAGACTGTCTGCATCTTCCAATAAAAACAAACAGGCATTAAGTTTTCCAAAAATAGGAAAGTGTTACTGGCTGCTTCAATATTCCACACAGTCTGTACTTTATCAGTTGGTGAAAATTAAAGGCAATATACTTACACATAGTATGCCACAAAACAAGTCTCAATAAATTTAAGAGGACTGAAATCATATCCTGCATCTTTTCAGACCACAACAGTATAAAACTAGAAATTATAAAGATTAAGAAAAACATGTGGAGGCTCAACAACATCCTTAGTTATTGAACCTACTAAAAACAACCAAAGGATCAACGAAGAAAGAGGAAAACAAAAAATACATGGAGATAATGAAAATAAAAACACAACAGTTCAATATCTTGGGGATACAGCAAAAGCAGTTTTCAGAGGGAAACTAACAGCAATACAGGCCTACCTAAAAAAACAAGAAAAATCTCAATCTATCCTGAAGCCTAAAGGAACCAGAAAATATAAGAACAAAGCCCAAGGTGAGAAGGAAGGAATAATAAAGATCAGAAGAAATGATAGAGAATTAAAAAAAAAAAAATCAGTAGAAAAGATCAATGAAACCAAGAGCTGGTTCTCTAAAAAGGAAAATCAAGGAAAAAAGACACAAATTTAAGAGAAATGAGAAAGAAGTAACAACCAACACCAGAGAAAAAAGATTATAAGAGAGTACTATGAAAAATTATATGTCCACAAACTGGACAACCTTGAAGTGGATAAATTCCTAGAAACATAGTCTTCCAAAACAGAATAAAAAAGAAATAGAATCTGAACAGACTGATTGCTAGTAACAAAACTGAGCTGGTAATCAAAAGCTCCCAACAAAAGTTCAGAAGCAGATGGATTCACAGGTGTTCTATCAAACACTTAAAGAAAAGCTAATAAATTAATACCCATTCACCTCAAACTATTCCCCGCTAAAATAGGAAGGAAAGCTTCCAAACACATTCTATGAGGCCAGCATTACCCTGACGCCAAAACCCAAAGACCTCACAAAATAAGAAAACCACAGGCCAATATTTCTGAACATTGATGTAAAACCCTCAATAAAATATTAAGAAAACACATTCAACAGTACATTAAAAGGATCATTTACCATGATCAAATGGGATTTTTCTGGGGATGCAAGGATGGTTCAATAAGGATAAAAATCTTATTACCTCATTGGTGAAGAAAAAGCATTTGAGAAAAGTCAACATTTGGGAACATACCTCAACATTAAAAAGGGCATATATGACAAACCCACAGCTAACCTCATACTCCATGGTGAAAAACTGAAAGTGTTCCCTCTAAGATCAGGAATAGCACTCTTGACACTTTAATTCAGCACAGTACTAGAAGTCCTAGCCACAGAAATAAAAGGTGTCCAAATTGGTAGGAATAAGTAAAACTGCCACTGTTTACATATGACATAGCACACAGAAAACCCTAAAGACTCTACCAAAAAATTTCTAGAGGTAACAAATTATTTCAGTAAAATTGAAAGATACAAAATTAATATCCAGAAATCAGCTGCATTTCTATACACTATAACAAAGTTATAGACAAGGAATTAAGAAAAAAAATTCATCTATAATTGCACCAAAACCAAATAACTGGGAATAAACTTAAACCAGGAGGTTAAAGACCTGTACTCTGAAAACTATAAAACACTGAGGAAAGAAACTGAAGATACGAACAAATGCAAACACATGCCATGCTTGTGGTTTAGAAGAATAGTGTTAAAATAGTCTACACTACCAAAGCAACCTACAGATTCAATGCAATTTCTATCAAAATACCAATAATGTTCACAAAACTAGAACAAATAATCCCAAAATGTGTATGGAACCACCTAAGAGCCCGAACAGCCAGTTATCTTGGGGGGAAAAAGAACAATGCTGGAGGGATCACAATCCCAGATATCAAGATCTACTACAAAGCTATAGATAAATTAATACAGAGAACAAACTCATGGTTGCCGGGGGCGGGGAGGGGAGGTTGGTCAATGAGCAAAATGGGTGAGAGGCAGCTTCCAACTATGGAATAAAGAAACCACAGGGATGAAAGGTACAGCATAGGGGATATACTGAATAGTATTATACTAGCATATGATGACAGATGGGTGCTACACTTGTGAACAGAGCATAACACAGAATTATTGTATTGCTATATTGTACACCTGAAACACAGTGCCAACCATTCTTCAAAAATTTAAAAGGCACTATATTCTCTGAAAGATCTTGAACATGTAGTTATGTTGCTAGTCTTAAACAAAAGTAAATATTCAGATAGCCTCTTTAAGAGGTAAGATACGTAGCCTTAGGGAGAAAGAATTTAAGACTTTGATTGCTGTTCATGACTGGAAAAAAAAGTTCAAGTTAGAAAGTGGAGTTAAATTCAGTATACTGCTTACCCCTATTATGTAAAGTTCTAGATTACATTTTACGACTTTATTACAGCAATATTCAAATGCAGTAATACATTTTGTGACCTCTTGAAAAAAAAAATCAGGAAAGTGATAAGATGTTAGACAACCCTCAAATTTTATCCCAGATTTGGTCACTATAAAAACAACGTATTAAAATCAGTCATAACATGCCAAGATGGGGAGAAAACACTTAAATATCTCCTTAGCTTTAATGGAAAATAAAGAGGTTGGGTTAAAATAGACAAAAAATCAAAATAACAGAATAGGGCCAGTCAGGAATCCAAATATATATATATAACAGAGTAGTAATTTCAAAGCTAGCATTCTATAAGCTAGCCAGAAATACCAAAAGGTACTAGATACCACTTATATGACATGATCAAATACGTTACTGTTACAGTCCACAAAGGAAAACAGTAACACCCTAGTAAAAACAAAGTAGACATATTTAAGAATGAATGGAATTGCATATTTCACTTTCATTTCCTGAACCACAAAGTATAGTGAGAACAGATAATTAACAAGTTAGTCTCACCTAATATATCTAGTCAATAGGTTTGTATACCTGTCAGTAGGTACAGAATATAAGAAAAGGGTAAATAAATATAAAGAAAAAAACTCAAAACCAGTTTGCAAATGTTGGTGTCTACCAGAATTATCTGAGGAGCTTTCTATAATACAGTACCAGGGTTCTACCACTGTATCTACAGAACGTCCAGTTGGACCAGCATACCTAAGTGGAAAAAAGCCGTTACTCAGGTGAATCAGACATAAAACATACTGAGCCAATCAACAACAATCACAAAAAAACCCCCCAAACCCCAAAATATTAACTACCCTTCCATTATAATGTAGAAGAAATGTGAGCGGAGCCCATTTTCTTCCTTAGAAACTAGTCACTATGACAAATTTCTTTTTGTTGAAATCCTTATTTTCTGCTTTTAAAACAATACAAAACACACACTTGCACATGTCCTTAGAAAGTCCAACATGGTTAAACTTCCAGTTTCTTCATGGTTTTCATTGTACTTTTTTTTTTTTTTTTTTTTAAATTAAGTCTTCACCCAACATGGGGCTTGAACTCATGACCTTGAGGATCAAGAGTTGCAGGCTCTACCAACCAGGCCAACCAGGTGCCCGTACTTGTTTTTAATCTATCACATTATACACAGAAAACCTAGACAAAAGCAACTTAAATTTCAGTATTCATGTAAAGTTTTCGGTCTTCAACCTTAGAATTTTTTTCAAAATTACATATGATGTAGGGATATACTTTCTTCAGTATTGGGGTACTGAAACAGACTAAATGGGATAGAAAAAAATCAGTTATCAATTATTTTACAAATACCTATTAAACACCTACTGTGTGTCCGGTACTCTTCTAGGCAATAGCATAATTAGAATGTCTAAAATCATTAGACAAAGAATACAGCAGTAAACAAAGTCCCATCCCTTAGGATATTTCTATTCAGCATCATGTACCAATTCTCTCAGTCTCTAATAAAGCTATCACAGCAAAAAATAGGAGATCTGACTGATAAGCAACAACTAATCCCCTTTTACAATGTATGTCATCAAGTTAGGGCCAAACTGCATTTCTATAGTTGGCAAAGTCATAGGAGCAAATAGCTTCAGAGGTGGGTAAGACCTTAGGGGTTTTGTTCCATCATTTTATACCCACAGGAGTTACCTGCTTAAGGTCACAGAGCCAACAAAACAAGGCAGAAAGTAGGGGGCAAGAACCCAAGAGTTTGGTCATTTGTCAAGTTAATATATATTCACAATTATAATTTGTTTCATATACATACATTCTGTGTTCACTGGGACATGTCAAAATAAAGTGTTTCACAACTTATGCTAACAATCGGGGAAAAAAAACCCATAAAACAAAACATTTTCAATTTTATATTAAGAAAAAGCTTAATTTTTAAATTATTTTACTTTCACAAACATGATATAAAATTAAATGCTGCTTTGCTGTTTTTCTCCTTTCCTTCTTTTTACCACCCAGTCATCCCCCTCCTATTAATTATTGATAAGTTAGGAACCAGATAAAACAGAAAAAAATGGTAGAACAGTGAAAAGTTGTTGCCATAAGGTCTAAAATCAATAAAATATTTTCAAAAGAAATAGTAACAGTCAATATATATTGAGTGTCACTACATAACAGGAATTGTTCCAAGTATTTTCCTTATAAATACCTCTTTTTGTTCCTCCTAATGATCTTATGAAGCTGATAGTCTAATTATTCCCAGCATACAAATGGTGACACTAACACGTAGCGATTAAATAATAGCTAATCAGTGGTGAGCCTAGTGAGGAATCCAGACCATGTGGCCTAGACACCACATTCTAAGTTTTTAATTCCTTTGCTAAAGGCTCAACCTACACATTTGCATTTGGGTAGAACTCTGCATTTCCCAAAGGAAAAGGGTGCCAAGACACCCAACTTACTTAGATACGAAAAATATCTATTCCATCCTTCCAGGCTCTGCTTTGTTTAGTTTTGGGAACACCATTGAGGGCTCTGACATTTGAACTTACCTGTTAAAAAAGTAATTATGGTAAGAAAGATCAATTGGGCTATTTTCGTAACTTTTCTGTGGGTTTTAATTTTCATGGTCAAAATTGCTTTTTAAAATTTCAAAGAAGAGGGGCACGTGGGTGGCTCAGTGGGTTAAAGCCTCTGCCTTCAGCTCAGGTCATGATCCCAGGGTCCTGGGATCGAGCCCCGAGTAGGGATCTCTGCTCAGCGGGGAGCCTGCTTCCCTTCCTCTCTGCCTGCCTCTCTGCCTACTTGTGATCTCTCTCTGTCAAATAAATAAAATCTTTAAAAAAAAAAATTTCAAAGAAGATTTAAATAAAGAACATAAGTGAATCCTCAAACAGAAGAAAACACGAAACAAAAAAACCCAGTTCCTATATAGTAAGTGCTGCATGAGAACAGAACATCACCCTTTGCAAAGGCACTTAATTAACAGTTACAGCAGACACTGCACAAAATAAAATGGAATTACCTTTGGGTTTTTCTAAAAGTCTCTGACATGTTTCTTTGACTTTGATGAAGAGTTCAGAACCTGCCAACTTCTTAGAAATCCCAACTCTTAGCATAACAGCTGCAGGTGTGAATTTTAACAATGCAGCCCCAGGCTCTCGTGGTTCTTTTGGATGCTTTGGCATAAGACCAGACCAATCCACATCTATCACATCTAATGGATCTGTAAAAAGTTAAGAAAAGGTTTTTTTTTTTTCCACACCAACAAACATTCTTGTTATCTTTAGAGAAACAAAAATTGCAAAACACAGCATTAAATAAGTGCTTTAAACCAAAATGTCTTATTCTTAAAATGAAAGCTTTCCTATAAAGACAAATATTTAGAATCTAAGGACTTCACAATAAAAAACCTCACCAAAAGAAAATAGGCAAGCAAACAAAAACCCAAACACATTCCTATAAATAACTCAGGCAGCGGCTATTAATACTGAACACAAATAATTCACCCACTGACAGGAACAACTGTGAAAAATTAACAAAGTAATATTCTTTTTAGAAGTACCTAATGGCATATAATAAAAAAGGTAACAATCATACCTTCTGCATTAGTAGGAAAAATTATGAAATATAAAAAATTAAGTCAAAATAAAAGTTTAATATTTTACATACCCAGACACAGCAAAGACCCTCATGATGACTTAAAAAAAAAGTTAAAACAATCAGACTAATTGGGATATTCAACAGGAACATCAATGGGTGTTATTTCATGGTGTAGTCACTAGAATAAGCTCTGGCAATGCATAGAGTATATTATAAGGGAAAATAATTTGGTTCAGAAAACTGACAGAGGTATACAGATACTGTTCAAATATAATTTCAACGATTGTAAATTTTTGAATGATTGTTTCAAAAATTGGCTTGTGAAACCACAATTTTGAAGTTCTGTACCATAAGTCTACCACCTAGAACGTTGTTAGGCAATCAGTATTTGGTTAGATTCTAGGTCATGTAATATCAATCTTAACCTGTGGAATGCAATCTTAGAACTTTGCTATTTTAAATGGGACCCTTTCCAATTTATGGGCAATGTCTACTTAAAAATGAGCAGACTATATGGACTATAATTTTCATTTTATTGGCCTTTCAGTCTTAAACATAAAGGGAAAAATTCCAACTGCCTTTCATTAATTCACACAGCATGAAAGGGAACAAAAACTACCTTAAGAATTATCTGACTTATGATATTATGTTCAACCACACATGTAAATGATTACCTGGCATCTTCTCCTCATCCTGTTGGTCTTCCCTCTTTTCAGCATCACCTGCCAGAATTTCATCTAGCTCATCATCGCTGATTGGCTCATATCCTTCTCCAGCACCAGATCCTAATGAATGTGCATCATCTAACTTGGATTCGTCATCTCCTGCTTTGGAAAGATCAATTTCTTGTCAAAGAGCACATCTAAGGGACATCTAAGTGAAACCAAAGAGGAAACACTAAAAATACCTGAAAAGTTTTTTTTCCTTAGAAAACTACATTTCTTAATTATTTAAAATACTTGACAATTCAAAAAGAAAAAAACTGAAATTTAATGGCAAGAACATAGTATTAACAGCAATATCGAAACAAGTTATAAGATTACAATTAAAATATGACATAAGGTACCACTAACTTATTAATGTTGCTTGCATGTGTCAATTTCTTATAAACTTCAAGTAAATCCAAATTTACTAACTTCAAAAGGATGCAATAATTTCTTTACCTATATAAGCTCATTAACTAAAAAAAACTTGCAGACCTGTTCATAGCATTTAGCTGATGATACGAAGATCTTTACAGCAGTGAGGTAAAAATGTAAAAGTGCCATTAATCTTCTCCCTACCTCCCCATTCATCTTCCCTATTCCAACACAATTTTAAAAAGAATGCTGTAATATAATTTTAAAATATTTTGTTGGTACCACCAGCATTCATTTTATTTACCTTACTTATCTTTCTCAACCACATAAGCTAAGCTTTGTCACCTAGTGAGTTAGTTGTGAACTTAAAAACTTTCCTAAAACTACAGAGTATGCTTAATATTTCTAATCAGCAGTTACCCACATACTTTACTGAGTTTACAACACTAGTTTTCAAAATGCAACACTATGCTTCACAGGTATAAATCTGCAGCAAATAAAATACAGTAAACTATGAGATGTTTCTAGTCATCCCATAATTTTCTATTCTATTAAATTCTTTAATAATCTCCTTATGCCTCCACCAATTTGCTTTTAAGGTAACCAACTTTAATGAGTTCATTATAGAAATATATGTCTAAACATATATGCAAATAACACTTTTATTTTTTCAAGTTTATCCAACTCATTTTCCTACTATAGATGAATAAAATTTTTTATCTCACATTAGGTAATTCACCTATAAATTTTTACGCTATGTTATCTGTGATCATAACCAGTGAATGATATGATGTATCTTAGGGATGAGGGGCACTGACTCCAATCACAAGAGAGCTATTATAATGATTAGTTCAATTATATTCAATTATACCCCAAGGTTGTACCTCCATTAGTGCCATCACGATTTGAGGCTATTTATACTCAAAATTGAGATGGAACTGTAATGTGAAGAACACCGAGATAAAAATGTTTCTGTTAGGGAGAAAAAGTATCTAACAGATGGTGTACTGGAATATATCTAATCAGTTAACCAAGAAATGGTAAAGATGTTTACAGTTCCAAAAGAATATGAATTTTACTCTGGGCCCAATGTTACAATATGGCAAATGAACAGTAAAACATTGCCACTTACATACAAGTATCTCATAATTTCTTGAGGGATTGAAATGGAGAGGTTTTATCAGAATGGTATGCGCACTGGTACCAGAACGGGACAATCCAAGGAGACAGAAGTTCCAGGAGAATTCCCAGGGGAGTCATTACTATTGTTAAGCCAGCTTATAATTCACCAATGAATAAGATGTGTGGGTATGTATGCACAGGCAGTACATATTTTCATTCATCAACCATTTACTGTGTCCTTGCTACAGTCTTGATGATAAGGAAATGAAAAGCTCTGGGTCCCTAACAAAGGAATACAGTATAGTGGGGGAGAAAACCATAGAAAAATTACTGTAATACAGTGTGGGGATGCTATAAAAGCAATACAGACCAGGTGCTCTGAAAAACCCCCAGAGCAGAGGAGGCTTCACAGAGGAAATGACACACAGACTGGGAGTTGATGTCTGAGTAAAAGAAGATAAAAGGGCAAATGTCTACCAGACAATGGGAAGAGAGGGGACAAAGATGGCTGGAGTGTAGTGCCTTCAGAGAATTCAGAGGTGTGAGTCAGCCTGTAGTGCAGTCTGGGGCTGAAGGAGGAGTAGGGCAGTGGAGAATGATGTTCCCCACCGCTGAGGCTGGCTCTGAGTGGGTCAGAGGGAAATGCAGCTTTGGGGAATGCATACAGTTTCATGTATTTGTTCTCAACTGCCCTGGGAAACAGGATCACTAATAGTTATTTAGTCCATCTCTGAACCAAGAAATAACTTCTGTTTGTGATTTTTTTTAAGCATCTAAGAAAAGGAGGTGATAACTATTTTTTTAACACCTCCAGAAATCACATTTAAGTTTCTTTTATTTCATATAGGCTAATTTGAACCAAGTCTATCCTGACAGTACCAATCAGGGGAATGCATTTTTGAATATCACAGGGCTTTTCCTTATGCATATCAGCAGAACACTTTTTTTTTTTTTAAAGATTTTATTTATTTATTTGACAGAGAGAGAGATCACAAGTAGGCAGAGAGGCAGGCAGAGAGAGGGAAACAGGCTCTCCACCGAGCAGAGAGCCCGATGCGGGACTCGATCCCAGGACCCTGAGATCATGACCCGAGCTGAAGGCAGCGGCCTAACCCACTGAGCCACCTGGGAACCCAGCAGAACACCTTCTTAAGAAAATATTTTGTTTCCTATATAAATGGAAAAGGAACGGAGCAGGGTAACAGACAAAAACGTGTGGCACTCACCTTCCACACTCTCAGTTCTCTCAGCTTTGTTTATATCTTCAAATCCCTGCACAGATCCTAGATCTTTATCCATTTTTTCCTTATCCGAAGCAAGAGAATCTCGCGAAGTGCCTTCTAGGTCTCTTTCATGTTCACTTTCCAGTTTTACTTCACTGCGTTTAACAGACTCTATTTGGGAAGAACTCTCAAAAGTTCTGTCTCTGTCCCTGTCCCTGTCCCTTTCCACAGAATCAGGAATTAGTCTCTCTCTTTCCCTGTCCAAATCTCTCCTTTTGTCTCGTTCTCTCTCTCGTTCCCGCAATCTATCTCGATCCCTGTTCCGTGGCCAATCTTTATCAGCATCTCGGTCCCATTCTCTCTGTCTTGTATCTCTCCTCTCTCTTTCCCGCTCTCTATCATGCTCATACCGATCACGTTCTTGAAGCCTATCTCTGCTATCAAACGACCCGGATCTTGAATGGACCTGTCGATCTGATTCAGGAGAACTTCTTCTTGAACTATGGCTCCTTGAGTCCTGGCGATCTAAAATAAATATACAAAGAGTTAACATATGAGAAGATAAAACATGCTTCATTGTTGCTACACTTGTGGTGAGCAAAGCATAAGTCAAATCACTGTGTTATATACAACACCTCCAACTAATGCAACATTCTATGTCCACTGTACTTCAAGAGGAAGAAAATGCTTCATATCTTAGGGTCCTTTAAAGCTTACAATTTGATACTTCTCCATTTCCAATTATACACAGAACTCATTTTAAGGAAAAATTGATCTCTCTCCATTAAAGTGCTAATTAAATATGTAAAAGACAAGGAAACACGTTTATTTCCACTATAACCACAAAATATCTTCTAAGAAATATATGCGTAAAATGGGTCAGCATTAACAGAACTGATCACTTCATTATATGATCTCTTCCTATATCCTACCTTATTTTCTGGGGTCAAAAGAAAAAGCACTGGCTGTAGGAAGAAGAGCAGGAAGGTTAAAATTTTAGGCATCAATAAGGGACCTGAATACATAAGCCCTTCCACCAAGATATACTTACTAACATCTTGATGTTAAACTGATGGGCGTCACTCAAAGTATCTCTATTATAACGCTGGTATTAAATGGTAACATTTTGGTGGCATGCTTAAGCTTTTAAGCTCCTTAAACTTTAAGGCACTGTGTATCGTAACCAATTTCGCATTTACTTTATAATCTGCATAAAATATAAAATTGTATGTAATATACTAAGACAGTTAACACTTGGCTAGATTATAATTCAATTTTATTACCTGAAGAAGTACTTCGACTGGGTTCTCCACGCTTTAACTGATCAATCCTAGATTTTCTCTCTCCTGTGATTTCCAGACTTTTTGTTTTCTCTCTATCTCTTGAGCCACTATGCAGTACTCTCTTTCGACCACTCTGGTCATCTCCACTTCGATGGGCAGAATCATTGGATGGGGAACGGAGACGACTAGACGTATGACTACGATTACTCCGATTGCTCCCAAGGCTGCTACTCCTCTTCTGATCCACTGGCTTGCGATGTGGCGCATCTTCTATAGTGACGTGAGGTGCCTCTACTTTTTCCGCTCGTGTTCTATGGCATTTTCTATGTGAGTCTTCGTTGGCGGTACTGGGTGTGGCAGAGGCGGCAATGGTGGTGGCGGATGCGCTGAAGGTGGTGGCAGCAGATGCGGAGAGAGTAGCAGGAGCAGTGGTACTGGCAGCAGTGGCTACAGGAGGAGGAGGAGGAGGAAGAGAAGACGGAGAAGGCGTCCTTCCAGGAGTAGGAGCCCTGGCAGCATGCTCCGGTTCTGCCCCCTCAGCACGGTCAGGTACATCCTCATCAGACCAGTCACTGAATGCCGTATCTTCTTTTTTCTGAGAATCCTCTAGACTGCCATCCTTACCATTGGAAATTTCAACCAGTTCCTCTCTGGTTGTTATAGGGGGAGTCCGTGGGCCTCTCTTCTTCTTATTCTGCAGTACTGCTTCTTCATCAGAAATATCAGAATCGCCTTTGGATTTTTTACGTTTTTTTTCAATACTTTTCTTCTTCTGTCCTTTTTTTGGTGAAAATACCTGACCATCTTCAGATGCTGTCTCTGTGTTACCCCTCTCTATCCCAACATCATCCTCTTTCTTTTTCTTAATAGGTTTCTTTTGAATTTTTGCTTTTTTCTTATTCTCATCATGAGCTCGATCAGGTATGTCTCGATCATCAGACAGGTGGTGTCCCATCATGTCTTGTGCACGAGTTCTTGAACTTTCCATAATTTCTGTCTGTTCTCTTTGCTTATCTACAGAAGAAACTTTCTCTTTGAGCTCTTGCTCTTCATAGCGCCTTGAACTCTCTTTTCTTTCTAGTTTACGATCTTCCTCTTTCCATCTACCCTGCCTGTCTTCTGTAAGGTGTGATGGACTGAGAGAACGAGACTCTTGAGGTCGTACAACCTGGCTCAAGAGTCTATGTTTTTCATCTATACAAAAAGATGAAAGTAATCACACTTTCACCAGGTAAACAACATGGCATGTTACACAGAAATAATAATAACCCAACCTCTCACTTTTCATTTTAAAACTTTAAAAGCGGCAATAATTTCACTCACAACAGGGCTTTATTACAAATAGTAGGAGATGACGGTGCCAGTACGATATAGGAACTGTATTTCTAGCATATACTTTAGTCACATGAGATATTCAGAGGCAGCAGAGCAAGAAAAATTTTAAATCTTACTTCATCATTTTCTACTAATGCCAAAGAATGGTCTCATGGTTATAAAAGAAAGTGTATATAGAAACACAGAAAATAGATTCTGCTTACTTTTATCATCTCCGCTGTTGTACGCATCACTGTCAGGAGAATGCTCTCGCCGGCGCTTAGGTGACTGACGAGGGCTAGGACTTCCTTCATTTCTATAACGTTTCCTAAGTTGAACAAATATAATTTATAAATCTCCAGGGGATAAAAAAGTGATTTTTTTACTAGTATTATGTCTTTGCTATAACTAGAATATAAAATTGTGAGGGCAATATTGTCAGAGCTATATCATACAAAAGGTATTCAGCATCTTTAATAAAACTCTTCACTTCGTTTGTTAAGACACACAATTGTGGACTTAAAATGCACGGCAATAGGTCTTTCTTCATTAAATCACCAGATTTAATTGCTACAAGATGGTACAACATACAACAGAGGCATTAATAATATACTAATGCACCCTTGACTAAAACTTACTCATTAATTTTAGTTTTTATGATAAAGAAATATTTTATGTTGGGAAGCCAAATGAGAAAATTTAGTATTTGCTTTAGAGTCAAAAAAGACATGAATTTAAGTTAGTTATATCATACACCCAGTGTCAGTCATGTTGTGGGTATACTGGAAAAATTGGTTCCTTCCCTCTTCTTAGAACAAAAATCACTTGCTTGGTGGCAAGTTAATAAAATAATTCATATGTTCACTATATTTCTAGGTCTTTAGGTTAAACATTAAATGACTAGTCATTAATATCTCTGGTACTTAAATTATTCTAGTGTTTTCCTATTTATTCATTAAATTTTGGCCAGCTTTTTATTAACTTTGTTTATAAATACTATGGTTAAAAGTGGCAAAAACACTGCAGTACACCTATCTCCTTGACAGCTCATTTACACAGATGAGTAACCAGGTGGGAAAAGGGAGATTAGTATGACAACTTACAGGCACAAGCTCATACAATTCTCTATCTGAAACTCATCATCATTATCTCTCCATTCTTTGAATCTGGGCTGGCCCACTGACTTGCTATGACAAGAGCATTGTGGTGAAAGAACATTGTGTAAGTTTGGAAAGTCAGGACTCAAGAGGCAACCAGACTTCTGCTTTTGCCCTCTGAGTATATGTCCATCATTATATGCAGAGTTTAGACTACTGGAGGATGAAAGGTCATGTGGAGGAGAAAAAGAGATGCCCTAACCTAACAGCCAGTACCAAGACATAAGACTGGGGCCATTTTGGGTCATCCAGACCCAGCTGAACTACCAGACTGACTGGAAACATGAGTGATCCCAAGTTAAGATCAGCAGAAGTACTCTGCTGAGCCCAGACAAAAATGTTAATCTATATGATTATGAGCGGGTAAACTGTTGTTGCTTTAAACTACTAACTTTCTGTGTGGTTTGATACACAGCAAGAGATAACTGATATATGAGAATAAAGTGAATAATTAAAATATACAAAAAAACTTTAACTTCAAGGAAATAGCTACAGAAACAAAATTAAGAATAAAATAAATAGTATGGCAATTCAGCAAATAAAACCTATATAATAGTGGTTAAAGAAGTTCTGGATAAATTCAACTACTGAGATGACAACATAATTTTTTTTAAAGATTTTATTTATTTATTTGACAGACAGAGATCACAAGTAGGCAGAGAGGCAAGCAGAGAGAGAGGGAAACAGGCTCCCAGCTGAGCAGAGAGCTGGATGTGGGGCTCAATCCCAGGACGCTAGGATCATGACCTGAGCTGAAGGCAGAGGCCTTAACCCACTGAGCCACCCAGGCGCCCCTGAGATGACAATATAATTGATAAAAATATCAAGATACTAGTCTCAGATAGCTAGTTATTGTTATAGAACTGTTTGACTCCTAAGTTTCTGGGGTTCTTGTAATGTTTGGATTGTCCAGTGGCAAAGAACCAGAGCAAACTTTTTACTCTAAGTAGAGATCAGAATCACGAAAAAATGAAATCAAAGCACAGGCCTGGATAATAATAGTAAGTAACAAAGATTTCAGAATTTCGATCTTTGCTTAAGGACCTGGTCAGAGAAGAGAAATAATATGTATTGTGTGCCTACATGTTAAGGGTACTAGCTGAATTTAATGTTAATGTAAGATTTTGTTTTTAAAACATGGGGAAAGGGAAGCCAGGGGGTGAACTATAGAAAACCCTGGCTGCAGAATTAAGGGAAGCCAAGATCTAACAGAAGAAGCCTCCACTTCTGTGCTATGTTCTTTGTCTATAACCATAATCTCCAATAGCAATGATGAAAAAAACTTAAAGCAGGGAGCTGTATTCACCATGATTCAAATGAGCTAGAGGCAGAAGCAACGGATATACAAATTATTTGTTTGTTTTAGCAAACTTAAAGAAAAAAGGGCAGTTAACTCCAACAAAGTTGGCTTTATGTCCATAAAATCTCAAAATTGACGAAGGAGTTCAAAATTCTCATGGCTACGGTGACTGACTTAGCTCCCTTGTCTACTCCTCAATTAATGAGAGCCCCAACATACAGAGAAGGCTGTGAAGATGATAGGCATACACTCAAGCCATCTTAGCCATCATTTGGAGAAAACCTTTCTGAAACTGGAACTCACACAGAAGAAAACAGTGGAGAGATGGAGAGACAGCATTCCTAATACTTTGTTTGTAAGTCTGAATACAGTCACATCAGAACAAATGAACACCGACCATGGACTTCCCAGATACCTGAGCAAATAAATTCCTTTTGTCTAAAAAAAAAAAAAAAAAGACAAGTGGGAAAAAAGAAAGAAAAGAGAAACTGTCCTCAGATATTTGCAATAATAACACCACATCTTATGATCCCAATAACATACTATAACTCCATAGCTCAAGAGAGGACAACTCCTCTCTCTCATCTTCTAGCCTTGTAGTGGTTGTAGGACTTCCTTCAGTTTTAAGACACTGTGAATGCTTCCAGGGCTGGGGGTAATGACTCCAGACTTGTAAGTACACAAAACTCATGAAGGATTATTAGGGATAGCATAGGTAATACTTCTTGGTGACTGGTCAACTCCATGAACTAGTTATAAAGTGGATATGATAAGGTGTAGTTTATTGGTTATAGTTGTATTCCTTAACAAATCTATAGAAGCAAAATAAGCCAATACTCATCAAAAATGGCACAGTAAGTAAGAATGATTAATTATATCCATGGCTACAGAAATAGGATGAGAAAGTGTTTCTTTTCCTAGACAATTCAAAAGACTAAGCACGAAATATATATAATAAAATTAAAATACAGGAAAATGTAGAGAGGAAAAAGAATTATTATAAGGACATTAGGGGCACACTAAAAAGCATTAAATGAAACTTTTTAACTCTTTACTGAAATGTAACTTTAAAAAAACTGATTCATTCTCATTCTTACTTTGACTTTCTCTCTTCGTGTCCATCTCTGGGATTTCTGTCTTCTCTGGTATCTTCTCGCTTTTCTCGGCGGTCATCTCGTCCTTTATCTTTGTCTTCCCAATCCCTCTGACGCTCTCGTTCTTTATCCCTTTCTCTTGCTCTCTCTCGTTCCCGCTCTCGCTCTCGTTCCCTCTCCCGCTCTCGCTCTCTCTCTCTCTCCCGTTCTTCTCTCTCTCGCTCCCGCTCTTTTTCCCTATCTCGCTCCCTCTCTCTCTCCCTGTCTCGATCATGGTCACGATCTCGCTCTCTTTCACGGTCCCTCTCCTTTTCTCTTTCTCTTTCTCTCTCCCGCTCCCTAGCACGCTCTCTTTCCAGCTCTCTCTCCTTCTCTCTTTCCCGATCCCGCTCACGCTCCCTCTCCCTCTCCCGCTCTCTGTCTCGCTCTCGCTCCCTCTCTCTTTCTCTGGCCCTTTCATCTCTTCTATCCTCCACTCTGTCTACTCTTCGTTCCTCTCTTCTTTCATCACGCTCAAGCTCGTCATTCCTTCCCTGATGTCGAATTGGTGAGCTTGGTCTTTGATCTACAATGAAAATCAAGTTTTGTCAGTGATTAATTTGACAGATAACCTATTGGTAAGACAATATGGCAAATCTTAAATTTTATCTGTGTATAGGGTCACACTGGCAGCAAATATAAATCAGGTACTATATTTACGTTTAAGTTAATCATCCAAATAATCACCCCTAGATGTTTACAAATTTTTTTTCTTAAAGGTAAGTTTTATTTGCCCTCTAACTAACATGTTTTCTGTTCCCCATCAACCCTCCTCCCACCTCCCACTGATCCACCTTTGATCTTTCTCTGCATGCTCCCTACCCTACCTCCAGCCCACTGCTCCAACCCCACTTTCTGCCATCTCTACCCTTCACCTCTGATCTTCTCTGTCCCCCCAGCAGGACCTGAGAACACTGGTGGCAAAGGATAGGGGCAGCAGGAGGTGTAGAACATAGGAGCTGAAGGAAAAAAAAAATTTCCCTCGTAAGTCACACCTCTAATTTCAGGCCAAAATATATACATATCAAAGTGCAGCTATTATGTGAGGAAAATATAGTAGAACAAAACATGTCAATAATTGTTGCTGCAATATCAATTTATCATAAACTAGAATATTAAGGGTACTGATGCTTAGCAATCTTGAAGTAATCAAATGTAAAGTGTTTCATACTAGTGATATATATTTATAATAAATTAAAAGTTTTATTTAATCATATAACTCATCACTCAGATGAAGAGCTGTTTTCTTAAAAATGTTAACTGATCATCTCATCACATTTTATATAAATATATTTTTTTCAATACATGAATCATATAAACACAGTGAAAATGAATACATGCTGCCCAAATGCCCAGTTGAGGAGGAAATTAGTCTGGGACCAGAAAAATGTATAAAAAAGTGGGATTGACTTTTCCACAGAATTAACCATTTTTGAAAATAGTTCACTGTGGTAGGATCTACGCTACTTATATGAGGTTTCTATTTCCATATTATGTAATAATGTTTATGGGTTAGTCATAAACCCATATTGTATGGGTTACAATATGGTCAATAGCTTTTCAAGTGGAATATCTAATACCAGCTTACTAAAAGCAGAATAACTTAAGGATGTTTCCAGGGAAGGGATCAATCATTATAGTAATTTGAATTTCCTATCTTATCACAGATGAAAAAGGCAAGACTTAATGCATATTTACTCTTTAGAGGTTACTTATCAATATAAAAGTTCATAGAATTTTAAAGCTAAAACAAAACAAAACCTTATCTGGCTGTTTCTTAAAAACACAGAAATTATGGTCCAAAAGTTGACTGGCCAAAGCCACAGAGATGGCAGATTTATTAGGACATTGGGACTAGAAGTCAGTTTCTCCTAAACCCTTTTTTATTTTTGCTGAAACCAACTTAAATTTAAAATGGTTCTACTGTTCACTTTTGATTCCCCAAATGCTACATATTTATGGTCTTAGATTGTCTGAGTTCCTGGTTGAGGGGTCATACTAATGTCACGATGATTACAGAACCTGTAATTCAATACTACAACATGTAGTAATTCATACTTGAAATTTCTGATTACAGTCATGTCAGGGAATAAACTTTTTTACTCACACTTATGACAGATAAAAATTCTATTTTCCCCAACCAAAAAGACAATGTCTCTTACTTCAAAGAAAATGGAGAGGATATAAGAACATCATTTTAATGTGTCTAAACTTGTTTTTCTATCTTTTCCCCAAAATATGTTCTTCAAAGATGCTTTTCTCTTCATATTATTTCTTTATCTTAATGAATGACATACCCATTCATGAAAGCTGGAGAGCTCTGAGCTATCCATCAATTTCACTCTCAAAATATTTCTTAATCCATTTCCCCTCTCCATCCCTACAGTTAGTATTCTTAACAGACTCTGATCACCTCTTCCTAGATGTCTATGTCATCAACAGTCTAACTGGTTAGTATCATTGTCTTCAGTCCTTCCCCAGACTTACTTATACTTTTTCCATGAAAACTCTATTTTTTCCAACTACTTTTCCCTGCCTACAAGGCAACCAATCAAAAATTTTTAGCCTGGTTTATTAGACTATTTAGAACCTGGTCTATAGTCTCTCACCAGTCCTTTTTCCCAGTTTCTTTCTTTCCCTACCTGTTATGGCATACCTCTACTCCCAACACCATAACTCATTACTACTCTAAGCATATGTTTCTTTTCGTCCTGCGTGTCAGCACGTGCTATCCCTTTTCCCTGCAAAGTGTTCTTCCACTGTTCCTTCTAGCAAACTCTTTAGGGAAGCTTTCCTGATCTCAGAACCCTGTCTGCTCCCCTCTGTCATCTCACAGAACTTTATACAGTAATAACATTAATCACACTCCAATTGTCTCTGTGTATCCTAATCAGCCTGTTAAGAACTAAAGGGAAGACTGAAATTCCTGAGCACAGAACAAGGTGCTTGTGCACATCCCTACCTTCAACCTCTATCAATCTGCCTATTGCTCACCGTACTCTGGTCACATAGGCCTTCATCCAAACTCTAGGACATAGTATTTCTTATCTCAGAGAATTGGCACATACTCTTCCCTCTGCATGGAGTGTTTTTACCCCCAATCTTCACAATGCTAGTTTCTTCTCTTGCATTTATGCTTCTGCATAAATGTCATCTTTCAAAGTTTTATACACAGTCTATCTAAAGAAGGTTCCTCTCTTATCCTTTATTTCTATCTGGGCACATTCTTTGTGTCCTTGATTGCACTGAAAAGTCATTTCTCTTTTTGGGTGTTTAAGGGGAGGTATCTTCCCTCCCATTAAGTTCTATAAGCACAAGAACTAATGTACTTCAAGAACCTAGCAAAATGCATGAGTACTCAATAAACGTGGAATATACCAGTAACCTCAAATATATAGTTCTGTTTCAATCATACAACTGATATTTATTGAAGTAGTTATAGTAAAGTAAAACAGAAAGAGGACAGAACTTGCAGTCACAAGATCTGAGTTTGAATTCCAGCTCTGGAACTTACTTCTTTGTAACTGGAAAAATCACTATCCTTCTCCTAGCCCAAATCTCATAAGTTATGAAATGTGAATTCTCTTGTCGTCATACCAACACTCACAGGAATATTATAAAGATAAAAGGATTTTAAAGGATATTTTATATATATATTCCCAGACTTAGTATCTTTTACTATATTAAGTCTGCTAATACATAAAAAGCAACTATCAAAGTTCCCAGAAACTTAATACACATATGGTTGAGAACTAAATACAAGACTGAAACCAAATGTTGCTACTGAATTCAGGAATAAGATGAAAAAGCCTGAGCTAGGATATCCAACTAGGAATAAAAAGAGAGAGAGAGAGAGACAAGACATTAAAAAAGCACAACATTACAAGGATAAAATGTTAGATTAAGGAGAGGTGAATCAGCGTTAGGTAAGATATAATTTCAGGTATCAACACACAACATATAAATTCCAGCCTCATTTGTAACTAAGGAAATCATACACATCTTTTAACACAAATCCATTAGGCTTACCCTACCAAACTCAACTCAACCAAGTCTAATCTCATCCACACTACTGAAGTACCTGGTGTCTTAGTGACTTCCTTCTCTAATGAGACTGCCCATATCAACACACACAACATTACCTTCGTGATTCCGCCCACTATGAAACATCATTATTCAATTTCCTACTCAGTCAAATTTCGTACTATATTAATCTCAGCATTATAGCAAACTTTACTTCAGTAACCAGCCAAAGTTAGTAAGAGCTTCATAAGATCTTAAAGAGTTTAAAGGCCCTAATACAGATGGACAATAAAAGCTTGTTAAAGAAACTGCTTATAAACCCTTTTTAAATGACTTTGAGTAATCTTGCTTCAAAACTGATTTAAGAGAGTATATCTAACAGAGTAGAATCTAATACATTAACCAAAAATGTTTAAGATACACAAGAATATAAAATTAGCTAAACTATTGTAAATTCTCAAGAAGAAACATGCATATAAAATGTTTCCTCAGATCACCCCCAACCCTACCATCATCATTTTTTTTTCCCTTTGTTCTTCTGACAGCTCTTATAAGACTCAGTATATTATCAGAGTTAGTGAGTGAGTGGCCAGGATACTCAGGTGGGAAAGCATCTCCTCAATCAGAAATGCCTAGAATGGGCACCCAAGCATCTACATTTCTTAAAGGGTTGTAAGCTATTTAGTTAAGGTGAGAGACATAAAGTAGGGCACGTAGGTTCTTGCAGTATGCAAGTACTTACTACACCTCAGTACCCACCATGCTGCCAAACAGGTCCTTTGGTAGCTAGCTATTTACACACTCTCTCTTAAACTAAGTAAACAAGGAAGATTACATGAGTAAATATAATAGTTTCAAATGTATCAACAAGCAAAAGTCTTAATAGATGTATTAAAAAGTAAACTAATAAATGGTTTTTAAAAGACAATTCTCCCAAACACTGTTGGCCATTATTGAATAATAAGTGATTTGACAAACCTCTCTCTCTGTTGTCGCGACGGTCTCTCTCTCCATGTCTTCTCTCAAAGGAAGAATCCCTTGCTTGGTCTCTGTTGTCTCTTTCAGGATATCTGTCTCTTTCAGGATAGCTACTCCGAGTTTCCCAGCTGTCATGATAGTTGCTACTACTACTGTGACTATCAATTTGAGAACCTCTTGTGCCTCGACTTCCTAAACAAAGGATATTCACACAAATGTTTAAACACATATACTTTATTACACAAGTTTCATCAGTCACAAACTTTCTTCCCAAAAAACACACAAATAAAGAAGGTGTGTTAGTGTTTCAAAGTATGGTAATCATTGTGGAAAAGAATATTAAATGTTGGATCAGAACACCCAAGTTGTCTAATGATGGGCTTGGGTAAGCTAAGTCCCAGTTTTTTCCTATCAATAAAAAAAGTCTTAATGGAATCATAAAGCAAGAAGACTCATTTCAGTTAACCCAAACCCAACAAAACAAAAAATGAAAACTATCTGTTCATACCTAATTCACAGAAATATCATGAAAATAATGAAAAAGTGGATATATATTATGGCTTTGATTACAGTTTATAGCAAAAACATTCCAATACAGAACCAAGGTACTTTGTGGACATTAAGTGGTGCCTGAAAATTTTCATTAAAAAATGTGGGAAATGAATGTTCATAGTAAGCTTTATTTGTAAAAGCCAAAACCTCGAAAGTACCCAAATGTCTTTCAATGGTGAATGGTTAAACTGTGGTATCCCCTGACCGGGAAATACTACAAGGAACGAACTATTAATACATGTAACAACTTGGATGAACCTCAAGGAAATTATGCTGAGTGAAAAAGCCAATCTCAACAGGATATATATAGCATGGTTCCATTATGTAACATTTATGGAATAACAATTATAAGATGGAGGACATATTAGTGGTTGCCAGGGGTCAGGGACAAAAGAGGGGATTTGAGTGCAGCTACAAAGGGGTAACAAGGAGTCCTGTGATACAGAGCTGAACCCTGACTGTGGTAATGATAATCCAAAGCTACACAGCCACTATTGGAAAATAGTCCAGCAGTTTCTCAAAAAAATGAAAAATAGAACCACAAAAGATTCAGTAATCCCACTTCTGGGTATATATCCAAAGGAACTGAAATCAGGATCTGGAAGAGAAAGCCCATGTCACAGCAGTATTATTTAAAATAGCCAAGACACGGAGGCAACCCTCTGATAGATAAATGGATAAAGAAAATGTGGTATATACATATAACAGAATATTATTCATCCTTTAAAAAAAAAAAAGGAAATTCTGCCATTTGAGACAACATAGCAACATAGATGAACCTGGAGGACATTATGTTGAGTGAGATAAGTCACACACAGAAAGACAAATACTACATGGTGCAACTTACATGTGGAATCTAAAATAGTCAAACTCTTAGAAATAGAGAATAGAACGGTTAACTGCCAAGGGCTGGAAGTAGAAGGAGATGGAGAGGTATTAGTCAAAGGGTACAAAGTTTCAGTTGTAGAAGATGAATAAGACTTAGAGCTCTATAGTACAGTATAGTACCTACAGTACAGTATAGTGCCTACAGTTAATAATACTGTCCTGGAAAGTAAAAAATTTGATAAGAGGGTAGATGTTATATTAAGCATTCTCATCACACACATACAAAATAGTAAAGAGAGAGCAAGAGGAAACTTGTGCAGGCAATGGATATGTTAATGGCATAGATAGTAGTGATGGATTCATGAGCACATATCTCCAAGCTGTATGTGCTTTTTGTATGTCAATCATATCTCAGTGAAGTGGCTTAAAAAAATGCAGAGCTACACACACTCACAATACATAACAGGCTTTGAGCCTTCAAAGAATTAGAGAAGAATTCTAAATACTGTTAACAATGTATTTTAATAGTCAAAATATCTGTATAATTAAAGACCACAAGGAAGAAATTTAAAACATTTTTTTAAAAACTAGAAATGAGCTAAATAAAACATCTAGGAACGAGTAAATTAAGTAATAGCTTAGATGCTGCTAAGAGATACTTGGGGGGGGGAGAAAGAAAAGGAAAAAAAAAGATATGTCTGAGGAAATGACACAGGAAACAAAAGAGAAAGAGAGATGAAAAATCTGAAAGTTAAGAATCAGAGAAGATACAATAAGAAGATTCAACATATGTCTAACCTATGCTGTTTAGAGTCACATTTAAAACAAAAAGATATAGCAAGGCAAAAAGGATGAAAAAAGATACTTATCAAATACAAACCAAAAGAAATGTTAGTAAAATAACCTTCAAAACAAAAAGCACTATTAGCGATAAAAAGGGTCATTCTGCGGTGGTAAAAGGAATAATCTGCCTTTATACCTAACAGCAAAGTCTTAAAATATTCAAAGCAAAAATTGATCAAATTACATGAAATCAACAAATTCACAATAACAGTGGAAGATTTAACTCACTTCTCTGTAATGTCAGAAAAGGCAGACTAAAAATAATTATAGATTTGAAACCATGGTTAACAAGCTTGACATGAGACACCCTTTGCATCCAACTATTAAAAGCACACACAGAACATTTATGTAAATTTCTGAGCCACAGCTTAGAGTCTTGACAAATACAGATGTCAAAGAGTCGACTCTAAAGTCTTCTCTGACAACAATTAAAATTAAGGAAGGGGATTTATTTTAAAAAGTTATGACTGGAAATTTAAAGTCATATTTCTACCTAATTCATGAATCAAGGAAGAAATCATATTAAAACTTACAAAGTGTTTAGAATGGTTACTAATACAATTACCACACATTTCACAACAAAGTAAAACTTAAGAGCAGAAATTAATAGAACGGAAGACATACAAGAGAATATAAACCAAAGATTAGTTATTTGAAAAGACTCAAAACAGACACATCTCTGGCAAGATTGAGCAAGAAAAATAAGGGGATATAGTTATAGATATAAAAGAGATTAAAAAAAGCAAAATTTGGACCTTCTTTGTATCAAAAATTTGAAAACAAATTTCCTAGAAAAATATAACTGCTTTAAGAAAAAAAAAATCTATAACTATTACAATAATCCAAATCTATTAACTCTTAATGAGAAAACTCAACTGATAGTAGAAGCTATAACCATGAGAAAAATAGGAAACGCTTAACAGACAAATGTTAAATTGTCAAAGAATAGATAACTAATCATACATAAATTGTTCCAGAGGAAAAAAGAAGCAACACTACCTAACATATTTTGTATGTCTAGTATAACTTTGATGCCCAAGGCAAACAAGAACATAAAAAATGAACTACGTAGTGGCATGCAGAATTGGTTCACAGTGGCCTGAAAGAGCCAATTGTGTGCATCTCTTCTCATGTCAGTAGCTGAAAATCTGATATGGATAGAGTATTTATTTATACCATGGAAACTGGCAAAAGCTAAAAGTTAGAGGACTTTTTCTGAAGAGTTCGTTGTTAAATATTTACCATTATGCCACTAATCTTATGTAATCTCAATTGAAAACACAGAGGTTTCATTCAATATCACAGTTTAACCTAATCTAGAACTTTAAAAAAATGAAAAAAATTCCATTCATCTTAGAAATGCCAGGATAGTTCTAAATTTTAAAGAAATATATAACATAAGTAGAAAGGTTAAAGAGACCAACTATGACCTTCTCAAGATACAGAAAAAATGGTCATGATACAAGTTGTTAGCTAAGCTGGGGAAATTAGGGGACTTCTGTAACACAATAAAAAAATCTGCTAAAAATCTACAAACATGCTGCTTAATGGTAAAAGGCCAAAAATCACACTTTAAAATCTGAAACAGAGCAAAGAAGTCTATTTTTAAAATGCACTTACAGTCAATACTATATTGAAAGATCAGCAGGTTATTGACAGTAAGTAAATAACCAGAAAAGAAGAGCCAAATCTGTTCCCAGACATAAATGTTTAAGAGAATCCAATTAGATCTCCTACAAAAATACAGTGACATAATAATGTAAGATTAATATACAAGTATCAATTATCATTTCATATACCAACAGTAAGCGGTAGAAAATAAAATACTTTAAAAAGATATTATTTAGTGACACACAGTTATTCACTAAGCACTTCAAAAACAAAGACTGGAATAATAGGGGAGGTGCTATAAATTATATATTGATAGATGTGTATCTATCACATTGTATCACATCTTACTATGCTTAATTTATAAATTAAACTTTATCATAGGTGTGTATGCACAGGAAAAGACCTAGTATATAGAGAGTTCAATATTATTTGAGGTTTTTTTAGGCATCCACCCAGCATCCTGGAACACAGCCCCTGTGGATAAGGAAGAACTACTGTATTAACTTCAGATTATTCTAGCTATGTGCAAAAAGGTGTTCGTATTTTGATAGGGACTGCAAAACGAATAATCCAATTATAAAATGGGCAGAAGACATGAACAGACATTTCTCCCAAGAGGACATACAGATGGCCAAAAGACATGAAAGATGCTCAACATCACTCATCATCAGGGTAATACAAAATCAAAACTATAATGAGTTATCACCTGACACCTATCCAAATGGCTAAAATTAACAACACAAGAAACAATTGGTGTTGGAAAAGATGTGGAGAAAGGGGAACCCTCCTACACTGTTGTGGTGGGAATGCAAACAGGTGTTTGCATTGTATACTTGGAGAATGGTATAGAGGTTCCTCAAAAAATTAAAAATAGAACTACCCTACAATATAATAATTGCACTACTAGGTATTTACCCAAAGAATACAAAAACACTAATTTGAAGGGATACATGCACCCCTATATTTACAATGTAGCACTATCTACATTAGCCAAATTATGGTAATAGCCCAGGTGTCCAATGACTGATGAATGGGCAAAGAAAGTATGGTATACGTACACAATGGAATATTACTCAGCCATAAAAAGAATGAAATCTTGCCATTTGCAGTGACATGGATGGAACTAGGGAGTATTTTGCTAAGCAAAATAAGTCAGAGAAAGACAACATATTTTCACTCATATATGGAATTTAAGAAATGAAACAAATGAGTAAAGTTAAAAAAAAAAAAGAGAGAGGCAAAGCAAGAAAGAGACTCTTATCTATACAAAACAAACTGAAGGGTACCAGAGGGGAGGTGGTAGGGGGATGGGTTAAATAGGTGTTGGGGATTAAGGGAACTTGTGATGGGCAATGGGTGTTGTATGCACATGCCGAATCACTACACTGTACATCTGAAACTAAGATTACACTGTATGATAACTGGAATTTAAATAAAAGATCTTTTCAGTAATTCCTACAATGGACAATGTGCACCACAAAGAAGGGGATGGAGCTGCTTATCAAGTTCACTGATATGGAATGATCTCCAAGGTATTTTTTTAAATGAAAACAGCAAGGTATAGAGTAATATACAGTTTAAAAAAATTATATTTGTAAAACCAGATGGGGATTATGAGTAGACCTACAAACCTGCCTATGCAGAATATTTCTGGGAAGGATACAGACAAAATTGGCAAAGAAATGAATAAGGTCAGGAATAGAGGCAAGGCTTTTCACAATATATTCTTTCATACATTTGAAATTTTAAACCATGTAAATGCATTAATGAAAAGAAAGAAAAAAAAATTTTAAGTACCACTGACAAGAGCACAAAAAATGTTGGGCACCCAGTAATAAAATACATAAGACCTCAATAGAAAAAGTTATAAATTTATAAATTTAATGCATTTGAAATAAAAATCTAAGTTTTTCATAAAATTAAAAAAAAAAAAACACCTCATTTTAAAAATGTATATGAAAAAGCAAAGGGCTAAGAAAAGCCAAGACAACTATGAAGGAGAAGGTAAGGAAAGCCTTCAGCTTCATATGGAGTTATAATATTGACCAAGATATACCAAAAGACCAATGGAAATAATGAAATGTTCAGAAATCTGCAGCATTATTTCAGGGAAGGGCAGAAGAAAGGGGTGAGGAACACATGTCAAAACTAATTCAGTCCAAGCAGCTGGGAGGCAAATACAACATTTAGGTAGTAGGTAGTTACTGGGTATTGGTAAAGGCTTTTTAGGGGAAGAATAAGTTAATGGTTCAAAATTCTGATGTGCAATTATCTGAAGTGGTTTGAAGAAAGCACAAGTATACTGAGGAAAACAGTCATTTCTGATACCACCAATTTTGAAAGCCCACCATTTTAATTCCACTTTAATAATCATTTTATCATATTTGTACCTGTTTAGTAGAAATTATTTCCTTTTGACTCTACTTTTTTGCCTGACAGGAATTTTCTTAGTGTTCCACACTAATCAAGAGGGTAGGCATAATTGGATATAATTTACCAGGGGATTTTAATCAGGACCCATTTATCTTCTGCTACTTTAGCAAATTCCTAAATCCTAGGAATTTAACAATTCTTATTTGGAATTTACAGGGAAGGCCAAAATTCAACTAATTGAAAATTACTTTGACAAAATGATGATAATGAATGTAAAAAAGAATATATTTAGAAAAGAAACCTTAAAAGATTTAATAATTTCTATATAAGCATACAAGATACAGTTCACTGACAAGTCAAAAACCTTACCCTTTTCAGGTAATTCTGGACCTCTCCCCCTACTTCTGCCCATCCGGTCATTCCTAATTTCACTTCGAGACTCATTTCTTGCATCATTCCTTATTTCAGTACGAGAACTTTCTTCTCTCAAATGGTTTCTGCCATAACTTCGGGATTCTTCTTGATAGGCATCCTCCTTTCGATGAGTATCTCGACTTTCACGGTCCCTGTAGTCATGGGTATCACGAGCAGACCGAGAATCTCTGGGGTCACGGCTCTCTTTGTTATCTCTGCTATAATCTCTCATCTCCCTGGAGTCCCGAATGTCTCTGGAGTCCCTTAGTTCCCGTCGGTCTCTAGTATCTCTGGCATCTCTTCGATCCCGACCATCTCGAGGTTCTCTGTCATCTCTGTGGTCTCTAGAAGAGCTCTGATCTTGTTCATACTCTCGTTCTTCTCTTGTGTCCTTTTCTCTATCCCTTTTGCTTCTTGTCTCTGTAATGCAAGTTTGGAAATCAACTAGAATTCCTTTAACAAAATTTTGAGAAACCAGACAATACATGTACATATAGAGCTAAAAATTTTTAAAAAATGGTAATTCACGTTCTTTGCAGAAAATAAAAAAAAAAACGTGGGCAAATAAGAAAATCAAAACCACACATAAACTACAATTCCAAAGGTAATTTTATTAATACTTGAATAACTATGTTCTTGATTAGATAAACTTTGATTAGGATCTTCCCATACCCCAACTTATCCATACTTACCTTAAACAAATGAAACAAATAAATTGATCTCGTATCACTGATGGTTTATTTTTTAGAAATTACTTGTAGATCTAGAGGTACACAGTGACTTTAGCCATCTCTACCAAGGAAGGGGCCAAACTAGACTATCTGTGACTACCTCAAGTGTACTTAAAGTACTTAAGAGCGGCCTATAGTTAGTAAGCTGGCTGGCAAAGAGATGTTGCTACTTATCCTCTCTTTTGCTACTCACCCTCTCTTTTTCTTGAACTGTTTACTCAATCACTCCTGTCTCTAGTTTTCTCTCATTAAAGCATTTTCTAACACTTCACAGAAAAATAAGAAAGGAACTTCAGTTTTAAAAAAGCTGAAACAAAACTCACTGATTATTTAATTCAACCTTGTCACCATCTAAATGAAGAAATTAAGAGGCCCAGAGCCTAAATGGCTTAGGCAACCCCATACCTAATGGAATTTGCAAAGAACATAAACTATTCTTTAGATGTGCCTAGAACAGGCAGAAATTGATCACAACAAAAATCTGATATGAAGTCAAAGGACTAACAAGAGAACATTAGAAAACAAACATTGCCTTGTTTTTAAGTCAGATTCCCTTATGCGCTGCTCTCACATTCTGGAACTACTTCAAGATCTGAGGCTATTTTAGCAGTTATAGCAGCTGTATGCCTAAGAGCCATATGCGTATTGTCAACTTACTTTCTTTTCTCTTTGTCCCAAGTGGCTAGGTCTACAGACTTTCTTAAGCACCCAAACAGTATCCACAAGACCCCCTAGATTTTCACATTAATAACTCATCTCTCCTGCCAATTACATCGTCCATATGCTTACATTCACAAATGCCCTTTAAGAACAGAAGCAGTAGGCAAGGACTGGATAGGTTTCCATCCGTTTTGGTGCAATTTATGACTTCTAGTCCTCCTCCAATGCCAACTGGGCCTAAAAATATGTTCACTCAGTACCAGATCCTTTTCATGATTCCATCTGTCTTTTCAAATCTAGTTACTAAATTTTGTTCTTTACCTACCTTCCCATTCTTCCACTAAAATTATTCTTATTTCAGAAGATGACATCTAAATAGAGGAACAAACTGCTACATATCTTGTATGGAAGGTTAAAGAAACATCTTTACAAAGAAACTAAACACATATGGTTTATTATTAAATGGATTCTTCCTGTAACATTGGCCACTCTTAGCACATACACAAAAAATTCTTTTAAGACTCAACCACATACTATTTCCCCTCATTATTATTTCAAAACAGATATCAAACACACTAAAGAGTTTTCATTCAGTAAGTACTCATTAAATGTACACTGTATTCCCAGTCAACTCCAGTTAAAGATCTTATTAAAATTAATTCACAGGTGCTAAGAGAGTTTTCCTATCTTACCAATGTTCCATAAATATTGCTGTGCTGTTCTGGTTCCAAAATGATATACATAAGAAATAATTCTATACAACAGAAACTCTCTCTGATCCCTACCTGGATGTACATCATTTTCTTGAATAAAAGAACTTGATTAATTACTGCACTGCTGATAGGAAGAGAACAACTAAATTCAACATGTTTTACAGAAGACTGTGATATACTGTAATATACTCTCAGAGGTTTATTTTAAAATGCACATTAAAGGGAAATGTTGCAAGTAAGCAATATTTCCCGAGTACTCATTATGTTTAAACACCAACTCAGAAGTTAGGGGAAAAACCTTAAATATATAAAGTCAAGAAGCTTAGATAAGGAGTACAGAAAGAGATCAGAACTATTAGACTGTATTGCCAGATAACAGCACCTCAGCTTTAACAAGGAGCAGAAAATCCAAAGTTAACTTAATTCTCAGGGATCTAGAAAGGGAAACTGCTTTGCTAACTTCTTTTTGAGTTTCACCTAGAAAACTGATCATTTGGCTTACACCGACCTTCTCAATATTCCTCCAGCCCTTACCTCTTTATCAAAACATAGGCGATGCTTTCAAACTATGCCCCTTGGTTTGCTGCTTTTCTTCCCTTCACTTTTTTGTTTTTTTAAAGAACCAATTAAGCAATTAGAGGGATATTTTAAGAATCAGACAGCCAAAAATTTCTAGAACTTGAGAGTACCCAAGTAAAACATCTTAGAAAGCACTACCTCAGTATACATAAAAATGCCCACTTATGTACATTTAATAGTTTATATGTTCCTGTGTCATTAAAAGCGCCTCTTACTGCCTTCAAGAACTCTTCTCTGTTAAAGACTTAATACAACACGGTTTTCTTCTTCTCCTTACTGTAACAATAAATCTGAATGTCCAGTTGTTTAACAAAGAAAGTATTTAACGCTAAAAAAAAAAAAAACAAGATAAAATACAGTGCATACCTTCTCTTCTTTCATGACGCCGATCATGAGACTGTGAAGTTCGTTCATGGTCATGCCTCCCTTTCTCTCGCATCGGAGAGCGATGTCTTGGGGGACTCTGCTTTCTCTGAGGAGAAGACAGAGAATGTGAAGGATAAGGAGACGCAGAGCGTCGTAAAGGTGGAGTTATTGTCCTCTGATAAGATGGTGAAGGAGATCTTTTTCGACGAGGAGAAGGAGAATGTCTTTGAATAGATGATCCTGATTGTGAGGAAGATGAGTGATGTCTAGAAGATATAGGAGAGTGATGCTGTCCTACTGGGGAAGTAGATCTGTAAAGAAAAGCAACAATAAAAGAAGCTGAATGCTAAAGTTAAAGCTAAAAGTGTGAATCATAATTCCAGGATAAATTTCAATTCACAATGCTGTATAGTAAGAAGCTAATTTTTAAAGATCTGGTTGATTTTAGGTCAGCCTGAGACCATAGTCCTAGATGAGATATGTACTGCCTTGCTCCCAAGCTTGGGCTCCAAGCAGCACTCTTCCTGAACACAAATAGAATATTATCCTCACTTAAAGTATGGAATTCACTCTTAATCAGAGATAATCTCTGACCTTGTGAATAGGTACTTGGAGGAAGGAAACCGCAAGAGGCTAAAGAGGAAACATACTAGTAAGATCTAGATAGAAAGCAGCTGTGGGAGTGCCTATAACTCAAGGCTGTGGGGAAAGGGAAGTCATCATCAATTAAGAAGCCAAACATGAAGTCTGCCCTGCTTGGGGTGAGATTCAGGATGGGGAAAGAATGATACGGTTAAGGACATACTGTCTACACTGTCTTTATCTTAAATAACCAGATAAATATCTTAAAATATCTTAAATATCTTAAATAACTGGCCAGGCCAGTGCAGTCCTGGTTTAACCAAGGCTTCCTCTACTCCCTTCCAATCACCTTCTTTCACTGCTGCCGAAGAAACAACTTATAACCACACAAAGCACAACGGAGTCACTCCTACAATATGTTAAATCCTGGGCCCTGGTTTACCCTGATTATGCAAAATGTGTGTGTGATAGGAAGCTGGAATACACACATTTGTGCAATAACTAAAAAGAAATGGGACCAGAAAGAATGTTAAAAAATAACATTCCAGACACCACATACCCAGATTAGTATCCTAGTCCTCATTCTGAAGATTAGATATTTGTTCAAAAACATTCTGGAGTCCTAGTCAAAATATTTTAGAATACCTTCAGTGCCTATGGTATTTTTAATATCCACAATGGTAGCAAAGTCATTATTAATCCTACAGCAGGGTTTCTCAGTCTTGGCGGTCCTGACACTTTGTGTTCAGTGATTATAGTGGGGGGCTGTACTGTACATCACAGGGAGATCAGCAGCATCCCTGGCTTCTACCCACCAGAAGCCAGTCTCATGCTCCCTCTCACCCCCATTCGTAACAATAAAAAATAACTCCAGACACTGACAAATTTCCCCAGGAAAGCAAAAATCACCCCTTGTTAAGCACTGCTGGCCTGAACTATGTTCTTTATAAATGATGCCTCAGTAGACCTTTTATCAATACAAGTACCAAATACATAAAATATATGTTGCTCATTCAGGGAAGTGATTCCAATATATTGAAAAGAATTTGCAGAACAGGGATTTTAGCAAATAAACAAAAACATCTTTTGGATAACAGTTGACTAAAAGAAGTCACCTAATCAGAACATCATATTCACCTAAACATTGTAGTTATTAGTAATTTCACTAAACCTTCACACTTCTCATAAAAATTTCCTTTTCATTAAAAAAAATAAGCCATAAGCCACTATAATTTAACTCACTCTTAAGAGAAATGTATTTACTTAGAGGTAGGAATAGAAATGCTCATAGGGTGTTACCCAAATTTGGAAAACCAGCTATGATCAATGGTCATTCAAATGCATCTTACCAAAAAGAAAAATACTGCAAGATTGAGAATTAGAATTATTACTGTTTGGTATGTTCCAACTGCAATGTCATCAGGTTCTAGACAATTTGGAAATCTGTAAATTGATTTAAAAATGTGGCTTTCCACTGAACTAGCATTTTGGTTAGTTTTATTTATTGTGCATACTAAAAACTGCTTCAAGAAAGTCTGCAATACCATTTGGTGATTAGTTCATGGAACCTAAAAAATAAAATAGCTCATATTACTATCTTTAAAAAACACAATACAGTCCAATCAAATTTCTATTCAAATTCAGTGTCGACAGCATGGAGTAAAAAATTCAATTCAAGCTTAGGATAATCAACCTATCAAATTAAGGTCAGAGGACCACTCCATTGTTAAGTTATGGTTTCAGCATTTTTTCTTCTTACCCATCCTTCAAGAAAAAAAAAATTAAGAAAACTTGGTTTAAATTAAAAGCATCTGTTATGGACTGAATGTGTCCCCCCAAATTTATACAACCTCCCAATGTGATAGTATTTGAAGGTGGAGGCATTTGGGAGTAATTGGTTTAGATGAGGTCATGTGGGTGGAGCTCCCATGAGATCATATCCTTACAAGAACGAAGAGACCAGAGCTCATTCTCTCCTGTCCATGCCAGGACACAGTGAGAAGACAACTGTTTGTAAACCAGAAACCAAATCTGCTGGAACTCTGACCTTGGACTTTCCAGCCTCTATAGCTGTGAGAACTCAATGTCTGTTGTTTAAACCATTCCAGTATATGGTATTTTATAACAGCAGCCCAAGTTGGCTAAGACAGCATCTTTATTTTCCTGTTATTATTCTTTTAAAAGTCTGATGACTAAAGAATAGTGAAAAGAGAGGATCTGTTACCAAAACAAGATGGGTCAGATTATGGATGTCAGCGTAAAACGGACCTGGGCCTGTGTTCATTCTATATATAAGAAGGTAGAAAATAAAACTGCCTTGAAATCTGACCAAAATTATTAGTACTTTGGCTTTTACACTATTGCAGGGGTATATTAAAATACATTTCCAGTTAGAATAGCAGTAATTTTAGATTCTTCTTAGGCTTTAGAATTGGCTGGTTTCTTGTCTGAGGAGAAAAAAGAGATGACATTTGACATTCAAATTAAGAAAAGAGTTTATCATTGCATGAAGAGAGCTCAATACCTTAAAGAAGAAATCTGTATACTGTCAGCAAGAGCACTGTGATTTATAGCACAGGGAAAGCCAATCTTTAGCCTGACTTGATTATAAATAGAAGTTTTTTAATGCTACTATAATTAGGACAAAATGTGCAATGAGAATATTCAGGGTATATTTCATTTGGGGAACATGTGAAAGGTTAAAAAATTTAAAAAGAAAAACCTGCCTCACTCAGGATACATAAATTTCATCTACAAACAAGCATGCTTACCCTAGACTTTTAAAAAATTACTAATACCATTTTTTCTTTTAGTAAATGGTTTCTTTTTCTCAAATGAAAATATGCCATCATAATGTAACTAACATTTATAAGTCACCCTTTAAAATCATCATAAAAAGTATACTTTAAAAAAAAAAAGGACTATGGGCAATATCAAAATCAACTATTTCCAGTGGTAAAATGCAACACCATATGATACAGATTTCACACACAGAAATATTTTGGTTTTATTATTTTACATAAGAAACATATCCTAAATAAAAAAGTGAGTCATTTTAATTTATTGAGCTAATATTAAGTGAGCATCTTATATACTGCAAGCATTATTTTTGGCACTGAGAATACAGAAGTAAAAAAGACAGGCAACCTGGGGCTAATAAAACATTATATGTTAAAAAAAAAAAAGACAGGCAAAACCACTAACATCATCATCATCATCATCATCTTCATACCAATAACAGTAGCAGGTAACACATATATTGTTATTATATCCATACCATTGTTTTAAGGACTGAAAACCAGTCTGTCATGGACTACGAGTAGACCGCCACCAGGAAAGCAAAGCAATTTCATTTAGTTAATGCAACAAAGTCTGTAAAAACAGGGTAATAAAATAGAAACTATTAGGTTCCCCCCCTCAAAAAAAGTCAGGGGACAACTTTAGGATGGTTCAAAGGAAAGGGCCTTATTGAGAAGATGGAATTTGAGCCAAGAGCTGACAATCCAGGGAAAGAACATGCTTTGCGAGGGTTCAGCAACCACAAGAGGCAGGAGGAATCACAATATATGAGAAGAACATTAAGAAGACAAGGGTAATTACAATTTGTAAGTGAAGAGTTACATGAGAGAAGGCCAGATGATATGAAGTCATCTATGTGATGGTGAAAGCCGGACTGTACTTTTTTTTTCCCCTGGATTTTATTATAAGCATGAAGAAAATCACTATGAAGAAAATCACTAGAGATTTTTAGGCATGGAAGTGTCATTCAAAATCTAGCAAGATCTCAAAGAATAAAAATTATTATGATCATCTCAACAGATACAGAAAAAGCACTGACAAAATTCAACATCCATTTATGATAAAAATTCTCAACAAAGTGGCATTAGAAGTAACATACCTCAACATAATAAAAGTCACACACGACAAACCCACAATTAACATATCCAGTGGTGAAAAACAGAGCTTTTACTCTAAGATTAGGAACAAGACAAGGATGTCTACTCTCATCACTATTATTCAACACAGTACTGGATGTCCTAGCTGCAGCAGTCAGATAAGAAAAAGAAATTAAAGGCCTTTAGAAACCTCCAAACTCATTTTATGAGGCCAGCATCACCTTGATCCCAAAACCAGACAAAGCCCCATCAGAAAGTAGAATTACAGGGACGCCTGGGTGGCTCAGTTGGTTAAGCAGCTGCCTTCGGCTCAGGTCATGATCCCAGCGTCCTGGGATCGAGTCCCACATCGGGATCCTTGCTCAGCAGGGAACCTGCTTCTCCCTCTGCCTCTGCCTGCCTCTCTGTCTGCCTGTGCTCACTCACTCTCTCTCCCTCTGTCCCTGACAAATAAATAAATAAAATCTTTAAAAAAAAAAAAAGTAGAATTACAAACCAATACCCTGATGAATATGGATGCAAAAATTCTCACCAAAATACTAGTCAATAGGATTCAATAGTACGTTAAAAGGATTATTCACCACGACCAAGTGGGATTTATTCCTGGGCTGCAAGCAAGGTTCAACATCTGCAAATCAATCAATGTGATCCAACACATTAATAAAAGAAAGGACAAGAACCATATGATTCTCTCAACAGATGCAGAAAAGTCATTTGACAAAGTACAGCATCCTTTCGTGATTAAAACTTCACAGTGTAGGGATAGAAGAAACATACCGCAATATCATAAAAGCCATCTATGAAAACTCTGACCTTGTTTTCTGACCTTGACC